AACAGGAAAAGTAACTTTCGTTATCATGGAATTATAACAAAACCTGCCAATTCAATATAAATGGAAAAAAAATATTATATGGAATTGAACGAAAATGAAAATTTGCTTGATAATTCAACTACGCTTGTTGGAGAACAATAAAAACACTACACTCAACAAGCCACCAATAAAACTCAACTGCCTAACCTATAACCAAAGTCTCCTTTTAATTTGTTTTTTAAAAAAAGCGCTTGAAAAACTTGCCCCGCATGGCGAAGTTGCCCCGATCTCCCCTACTATTATTATACTAACACAGGTATTGAAATTTTATATAATTATGACTTGCGTTTCTTTATTAGACAGAAGAAAGGCTTCCTTATTCTCGCGACGATCACTGCACCGTTTCCCTATTTATGTGACAGAGTCGAGAGTGAGTTTTACCCGGATACGAAATCTTAACGCTCTTGAACTTCGATGAAAAATAGTGTCGCCTCCACGGATGTATCTGTTTGCGTTGACGGTATTACAATATTCGAAATAATTAGTCAGGAAATAAATAACGATATGTATAAGCATAAGTCAATAATTTCAAATTTGAAAGTTTCAGTGCTAATGAATTCATAACCGCCGCCAAAACAATCCACGAAAACGTTTCTTTATTTTACGCTCGGCACATCCTGACGAAAGAGTAACGAACGAAATTCGAGCCGAGACAAATTTCTGTCGTAAACAAACGCACCCAAATTCGTACATTTATGAATTTCTTCTTATATCTTTGTCTACTTGGACCTTGTTTATTAATTGGACTTATTACATGGCGTAGTTTCCGATTACCAAATAGAAAAGATCTTAGTCAAAAGTCGAAAGAAAATATCTTTATTTTCACCTGAAAATAATGAATAGATAAAAATAATATTTGCTAATCGAAAATTGCACCAGTGTCAAGGTACAAGTAGACAAGGATGTGAACAGAAATTTAAAAGAGTAAGGACATAGAGGTGAAAAACTCGTACATTTATGTTTTGCTAACTAATTAATTATTTTAAACTTTACCGCTGGGTGCCGAGAAGATCAAGGCGTTAGTCTACCGTTCTAGAGAGACTGCGGCAAGTAACATGTAGTTATTCATAGGCGGTTGTCTCCAATATGGTGGGTCCCGTCCCTCACCATCCGACCGCATCTATAATGAGTCTGGCAGAACCTACGGTAAGTATAATAATAATAAAACACCGAAAGATCAGAAAAATGAAAACAAAAGCATTATTTTAAACCTCAAATATTTATTGATTATCAATTACAAATATTAATGTTATAGTTTACATTTTATGTTTATAGTGATTAAAAATTTTACAAATTCCTTTAAAATTATCATTATTGTAACTTAATAAATCGAGTAGGAATCTGCCCAATTCGTCCAAGTAAATTTATGAAGAGCAGGATCAGCATTCGGATCGATAGGTTGATTAATTGGAGGAACTGCACTTGCTTTCCAGAACTTTAATCGATTCAATATATATTTCACAAGCTAAAAAAAAAGTTTATTTTAAATTGATGTTTAAAGAATTCATTTTTTAATTTTAAACAGATTCTTTATAAAAGTTAAGTATTCAAATTTAAACAAAACTTTAAAAAGTTATTAAGTACTTATTAAACTTTTCAAATTTATTACTTTAAATATGATCAAATAGAAAATTAACATAAACAAATAGAAGTTATTCGTGTAAATAATTTTCTTTATACGAATTAAACAAGATNTAATAATTGTTATCTAAATATAACAATATTTAAAAATGTTAACTTTTAATATAATTTTTTATGGCACCATTTAACTGATGCTGGTCTTGATATAGGTTTATGTTTCGTTTTAGTTTTGAGAAATTCATTTCGTACAACGTTTTGATAAATACAATTTTACTACTAAAAGTTTCTTACTCGTTGAATATCTCATCTCCAGATGCTATTAATAACAACGATTTTAGTTGATGAAAGTTAAATTTTCAAACGACGAAAATAAAGACGAATTTATTCACTGACAAAAGCACAACACAGACGTTTATTTAGTTCTGCACAACTATCACCACCACTATATGTTCGCAAATAACATGTTTTCTTGGTACACATACTGTACAAAGTGTTTGCTACCAAGGACTTTAAACTACAGTAGTATATAGTCCTTGGTTTGCTACAGTTCTATCTCGAAACAAGTTCGGTGTTCGCTTTGAACATTGGATTCCAAAACCCCAAAGCGCGGTCTAATACCTAATGGGATTACAAAGCTTCTTCTTTTATTAAAAAGCGTTCCTCTTTCTTTCGCAAAACGTGACTGTGCAACTTTTTAAACATTCCTTTTCTTGAAATGTTCCATTCTAAAAAAAAAGAATAAATGTTCTATTTTTCCGATTTTCCTAAACCAACTTGTTTTTCCATTGATCTTCTAATTCTTTCCTGTGCTTCCGTTTTCGTTCTATGCTCCGAATTTTTTAAAATTAACATTAAAGTAACTAATAAAAATTAGTTAATTTAATGTGAATTTTAGTAATGTGAAAAGTAAATTAACTTAATGAAAATTGTCACAAGATCACTTTTCCAATGTAGAAATGAGACATTCGATATTAGGATTAACGATTTGCCATATCCAGTAGCGACTCATAATAAGAAATTTGTAACTGCAGCATCCGCAATTAAAGTAAAATCACAGAATAACCGAGTCGGTTAAAAAGTAAACCTACCGCATTGGTAAATCTGGGATCAAATTCGAGTAACTAACCAGGAAGGTTTTATGTCTGTACATGATATGCGAGGAATCACTATCGCTCCATTGTGACCCAGACTGAATCCACTATGTATGTGAAAACAGGTCTTTTTAGTGCCCGCAGAATTTATTTTATTTTAGTTTCTTTATTCCTTATTGCCATGTGGACTAGACATATTCGGGACGATCAACCCCGAAAACTTTTTAGCGTTTTTTTACCCATCCGGAATGATTCCTTGGTCCCAGGACAGTAAGTGGCACTTTAACCGTTCGACCATCCGATTAGTGCACAGGAGGTGGAAATGTTTTTAAAAGTCAGTTACTTCAATCAATTAATTTTATGATATATAAAATAATTTTTCTTACCTTTGGTTGTTCGTTAGCAATATTTTCCAGTTCGCAAGGATCTTTTAATATATCAAATAAGCATGGGGCTGAATTAGGATCACAATTACTATTATTCCTTTTCGAGTCAGAATAACAGTTATCTGGCAGTCTGGTGAAAAACTTGTCAGTATTGTAGAGTAATCCTTCCTCTTCAAGAACTTTCCAAGAATATGAGGAGCGAAGTAACTTTTTATAACGAGAAAGAAAATAATCATCGTCTCTCCCGGAAGGTCCGTACCACGCATTGTATTCTCCATTAGAATTCGATCCATTTACTAGTTTGTAATTTCGGAATCGAAGAGCTGAAGCACCGTCGATTGGATCTATGTTATGAAGAATTTCTTCTCTAGATGTAGGTTTGTCGTGAACTAAAGTCTTCCATTGATTTATTCCATAAATATCCGTCAAATCGCTAACATCACCACCTAATAAAAAGTAAAACTAAATAAAGTGTATAATCAAACATAAAGGAAAGTCGCGAGTAGTAGCGTGAAGACTTGTGACGTCACGAATCAGTCTTGGTGACGCAATAAGCTATGTTTTCATCTCAAGAAATTATAAAATATTCAATGTTTATTTTCTAAAAAACATTTATTAAAATTCTTTAAATAGCATTTAAAACTCTAAATAAGTAAATAAGAAAAAGATTTACTCTTATAAAGTTAAATTCTGATTATATTCTAGCTGGAAAACAGAATCAAAATATCATATCGTCTCGTGATGAATGTCTCAAAGGGTTTGTGAAATTCTTTTCTAATCCTTCCCGAATATCTCGAGGTTTTCGTTTAATAACTTTTGGTTTTTATCGTGTTTTATTTTAGTCACTCCATTCACTACTATTAATTAAAATGCTTATAGGTACAGTTGATTTCAAATCGATAATTTTGTTTAAACCGTCGCGACGGTTTAAAGAAAATTATCGATTGAAATCATCTGTACCTATCCAAACGTAAATACGATGAAGATAGGACAATTACAAATCTCTAAAACACTGTAACACATTACAAAAATAAGAATCCAGGAAAAATGTAATTGCACATTATTACAAAATGAACAGCAGTTTAAATTTTTATATTTATGTTAACAATTATAATCTAAGTACAAGTAAGTTTCCAAAAAATCTATTAATGTTAAATTGTAAAAAAAGGTGTTGTGAAACTGTTTCCATGTATGTTTGATAATTACAATTTAAACTATCTTCAGTTATCAAAGTTTCAGAATGATAACATAGAGGAATTTGGTATTTGGATGTTTGGATTTGGAAAGAGGTATTTGAATGTTGGGCCAAGACTCCACTAGCATAAAAACGGGCGTAAAAACTTTTAATACTATTTGCAACCTATTTGCGTTTGTGTCTGGATTACGGTGAAGGTCCGGCTAGGCTAGCGAAGGTTTTACGGCGACGATACTATCGAAGTTATAAAGACAATGATTATATTCTACGAGTTTTTTTGTACTATAATTACAAATGTAGTAAAAATAATATCTTTACTTTCATATATTGACTTTTATTATCATATTATTAATTAAGATAATATACAGTGAAATTAGTGTGCTAGATTTCACTGACTTCTGATTGGTGGATGGTACCGTTTTACCGCCGTATTGGCGTCGAAAGTTGAACACTGCTCAACTCGCTTTTACGCTGGTTTTACGATTCGCTCAGGCGTAAAATATCATGGTCACGTGATTAAAAGCTTTTACGGCGAGGGGTTTTACGCCAATTTTAACACTAGTGGAGTCTTGGCCTTACAGGTAGTTAAGTTGGGTCTAATTATTATAAAAGTTACACGCAGTTATTAGAAAGTGAAAAAAATATTAATATTTTAAATCTTTGTAATTTTATCAAATAAAGATCATGATATTTAATTAAAAACAGTATTACCTTGACAAGAAAACTTTTAAAATTCTGTTAATATTAGACCCATTTTATACAATACTAGCTGTTACCCGCGACTTTGTCCGCGGAGGTTTTGCAAGAAAACCTCATCTACATTCAATATTTCAATAACCATAGTAATTGTTATATAACACCTACCGCCGAAGAGAATTGCCGAGAATCATACGAACTATTTTCAATTTGATCAATTTTCTGGAACGTTTGCAATCGTTCTATTATCGAACCAATATGCAATAACAAATTCGAATTTAAAACGGTTCGAACATTTTTAAAATCGAAATAGATAAAAATATTTATAACAATGTCTAAAATGTTATTAATTTAATAGACGTAAGTACTCGATAAAGATTAAACGTAGTTGAAAACAAAAAATCGCATCTAAAGTAGTATAGTAGAAGCCGTTCTTCGGGTTAAGCCTTAATGCTCTTACTCACCCTTGCGGGGGAAAAATCTCTTCTTAGTGTGCGTTTTCATGACGTACTGTACCCTAGCTCTGTACCAAATTTTACCTCTTTAGGTCAAGCGGTTTGCTCTGGGCGACGATGAATCAGTGAATCACTCAGTCAGTCAGTCAGGACAAGCAATTTTATATATGTATATTTCAGAATGAAATTTCCTTCTAAAATTTACCTGAATCTATGTTACCATTTTCATCTATATTTCAGGTTATACAGCGAAAAAAGAAATGTATAATTTGTCAGAATTGGCTTGAATCAAATAAAGAAGTAGAAGTTCAATTTCCTAATGAATTAATTTTTTGATAGACAAAAATTAACTTTGCTTACTGAATGTGCAATTGCTGCTTCATGTTTCACATTGCAAACAATAATTTAATAAATTTCAGGACACATTTTTAAGTACAAAACACCAGTTATAAATTGCGCGTAAGATTAGTAATATTCAACTTAATCAATTATTTATCTTTATCGTCATATAATCTTTTTGATGAATGTCTTTGCAAAGTTACTTTGCAAATCCGACTAAAAACAAAACTTTATAGGCTGTAAAATAATGTGAATAATCTTGTTAAATTGATAAGTGATTTCCAAGCTGTAAATTTAAGAAAATACAATCAAATTAACAGAACTTCTATTTTAATAATTAAGGTTAACATTAATTTTATCTTAAAAGCACAGTGTATTAAATGTTTTGTTTAATGTACAATGTAATTAAATGTAGTTATTTTATGTAATGTATGTAATTTTATATACGCTGAAATAAGTCGGCTTGAATAGTTTATATCATCAACCTGGTGTTTTTAATATTGCCATATATAATTACCTCATTTATTACTGTTAAAAAGTTACTTTCAGCAAAATTTGAAATTGAATTTTTTAGGCATAGCAATCAGCAAGGCATTGTTTATCATTTAACCGATAGCTTCCTCAAAGACAATTCACTTTACGTAAATTCAGAATACAACACACGCAACTAAACAGTAATTGTAAAACATGTACAAGGATCTCTTGATTAATGCAGTTAATTAATCCCTCGATCCTATCGCCTATATAAAAATCGCGTTAAACAAAATACGTATCTATGTTTAGTAAAGACAGTTAGTAAAGCCGCGTAAATAAAGAGATTGTCGCAATTAATTTCGCGCGTTAATCAAATCTCGCGTTAAGCAAAGGATATCTGTACTGCATGCGTTCATCTACAGACAACTTTTTAACAACTAGATAAGTCACATCTAGTTGTTTAGAAGTCTGTGGATGAGACTGAGGGAAATGTGTCTTATAACATCGGTGAGTCGCTTGACACGAATAAAAAACATATGTTTGAAATAGTTACATAAAGGTTTAAAATTTCTGATAAGATGATAGAAAGGAGTTGAGAGTAACTGCTGACATATTGACGAAAGGAAATGACAATTCGTTTAAATCGGTACTAGTCCGGGCATAGGGCATACGTTTACAGCAGAGGCAATAGACGAACAAAGTAACGTGGTGCCATCTAGTGGGAATGAGGGACGTAAAATTCATTCCTGTTTCTTAGAACTTGGATAACATTTCCGTAGTTCAACCGAAATTCACCAAATTCTAAACAAACATCAAGAAACTGTCTCGCTTTATATCCCAGCATCCAAAAATGTCAAAATACGTTTTTGCTATTAAACGTCAAAGAGGCGAAAGACAACACTTTCGTTTTTTGAATAAATTTTTTTCTGAGTCTCATTATATTTTCCAAAATGTAATTTATGCACATGCCAGGGTTCTACCAAGAATTTTGAAACCAAACACATCAAAATTTAACGTGAAAATTAAAAAAAAAATTCGACACGAAAGAGCAAAAGTTAATACAGAAGCCTGGGCTTCGCCCAGGCCATTATTGTGAACTTAAAAAATAATAGTTCTATTGCTAAGAAAATCAAAAAAAAAAAAAAAGTGTAAGCTTCAAACACTTAAAAAATAGTTATTCAATTTAGGTATTTTATATTATAATATTATTTAAACTTTATAATTTGCAATAATCTTAAACTGTATCATTGATTTAGAATTTTATTTATTCAGACATTGCATATAATTTGTATGAAGTTTATTGAAACCATTTGGATTAAATATTAAAATTTAAAAAAGCGTTTGAAATACTAGCCTAAATAATAATCTTTAGTCACACGATTTTTGAAAAATAAGGAAATTTCTTTAAAAATTAAAAACTGATCACTTGGGATGGAAAGTTGTGACGACACATTTTAGTGCTTCAGCTTTCTCTGTAGGAGACGTTAGGAGTCTGCTACTAATTCGTGCGTCGTAAAACGTTTCGCGCTGCTTTTCTTCACTCCCCGCCCGATCGTTTGATATAACTAATGCAGGATAAATTATTACTTACATCAGATGAAAAAGATTAAGTAACTCAGAATACCTGCAGCATGATAAAATGTCGGTAACCAATCAGTGATGTGAATTAAGTTCCTTTCGATCCTTGGTTGTTGCTTGAACAGTTTACTCCATATAAATCCAACTCCTCTCACTCCTCCTTCCCATAAAGTTATTTTATTTCCTCTTAAAGGAAAATTCGAACCAACTCCACCTCTTAAACCAGCAGCTTCTCCACCATTATCCGTAGAAATCACAAAAATTGTATTATCTAACATAGAATTATGTTGCAAGGCCTTAAAAACTCGTCCAACTGATTTATCTAATTCTGAAACCATTGCTAAAATAATAAAAGATAACGGATTTTCAAAAATTGTATTACTATGTGCAAACAGTTTAGTTAGTTTGATTAAATCTCCATATTCAATTTAATATTTTATGCATATTTAAAACGTATTTACCTGCAAAAGTTCTTCTATCTGGGTTTTCTATACATTCAAATTTGAAGACTTCACTTTGAGGTGCTTGAAATAGATCATATGAGTTTCCACTGTGCACAGCATTCGGTGATAGATACAGAAATAATGGCTAAGACAATAACAAGCGTATGTATTTATATTAATTTTATATTTTACAAAATGTAAAAATTAATAACTTAAAATACACAAATTAACAA